CTGGCAGCGTCCCTTCAGCAGGTCTTGGTTCTCCTCTTCCTGCAGTATCTACTCACGTGCTGTTGTTTGTTTCTCTTTTTAGGTTTTATTTTTATGTTTCTTTGTTACTCTGCAGGAGCCAATGCCTCGGATAATGTCTAGTAACGTCTATCCCGTGTCTGGAATGTGGCTGGTTTGACACTTGAGATACCACCTGGCTGTGGCAGCCTTTTGAGTTGACAGTTTGGCCAGGTCTAGAGTTCTAGGGCAAAATCTCTTCCCTTAGAATTTTAAGGAATTGCCTCATTATCTTCTAGTCCCATGTTCTGATAAGAAATCTTATGCCAGTCTGACTCTGGTTGTCTTAAAGGTACCTTTTCCTTTGATGCTCTTGAATTCTGAGGTTTCGTGCTGTTGGGTCCAGGTGTGTCTGTGTCTTCGTTCTTGTTTTTATTTTCATGGTTAGCCTTGTATTCTTAGCACGAGTAGATCAGAGTACCTACAGTTTCCCAAAGACCTCGCTGCTTGGGGTTGAACAGGTGGCAGGGGGCCGGTGAGGTCTGTCATGGTGGACAGGTTCCCTGGGTCAGAGCCACGTCTTTTTTGGCAGTAATGGTCCTCAGTGCTGGCTGCATGTTGGAATCACCTGGGGCTTTAGGAACCAGTGCTGAGTGCTGTCCCCTTTGGGGTGCAGTCCTGGCATTGAGATTTTAGAAGCGTCCCAGGGGATTCTGAGGGACAACAGGGTGGAGAGCTACTGCTCTAAAGTTCAGCCCTTGGCCAGGATTGGTCGGCACCGGGGGCACCCACAATGGTCAGTGATGTTTCTGCCGTTGTCATCGTCACTGTCTTCATCATCTTGTGTGTCTGGAAGACATTAATGTTTTCTGAAACTCACTTCTGTCTTCATCTTCACTTGGTTTGAAGTCAAGAACTCTACAAACCCTGGCTGTGGACCAAGGCACACAGAGCCAACTGCTTCTGAAACTGTTCACAGGTCCTCGATACCCTTGGCCGAGAGGCTGTGCATCTTCCCTTGCGAATGACAGCAAAGGTGGTGGCAGACCATGACACTGCCTGTCTGGTCACCAGGCTCATTTGGCCTTCACGAAAGACCCCTCCCAGGCAGCCTGGGGGTGGGGACCGTGCGTGGGAGCCCTGTGCACTGTTCGTGCAGTGTGCCTGCTAGCTTCTCACAGAAGCACTTCCCTGAATGTGTTCCACGCAGGGAAGGCTGGGTGGGCCGGGGTCAGGTGAAGATTCAGGTCAGTACAGCCACACACCTCTCACTGCATGCCAGCCGCTGAGGTCCCCCTGAAGCGGGACCCATGCTCTTCTCCTGCGGAGGAGGTCAGACCCTCCTGGTGAGCGCGCGACCTGCAAACATCTGGCTTTCTTGAGGTGGTACTGTTCAGGCGGGTTCCCTGTCTGCCAAGCTCGAGGGCGGCTGTCTCTCAGGCGTGCTGTGCAGACCCCTTCCTGTCCCTCCCGTCTCGAGCAGCTTTGGTCTAGGCATCCACCTTGCTCCGCTCTGTTTTGCTCTGCTCGGGTGGCTGGGATTTGGCCACAGCGTGTCCTGAGGGTATGAGCCCCTGGCTGGGAGCACGGCAGGTGGCCACCTGGTCATTTCCTCTGCTCCTTTCTGTGGCAGGTCATTCGCTGGCCAGGCACTAGGGTTTAATGCTGGAAACAGACTGCAGCCATGTGGAAACCCTGCAGAAGGTCCTCTCTGGTTGGATGTTCCGAGAATGAGCGAGCACCAGCACGTCCCCTGTGGTGCTGGAGTTGGCCGAGTGCCACCAGGATCAGGACAGGACCATGTGGCAGCCCGGTGCTTCCCTCCTCATGGCAGAAGACAGGAGTGCCCAGGGCTGGCCCAGTCACACACTGGGGTGTCCCCTGGGGACCATTACTTGTCTGAACTTTGAAACCAGGTTTATTCTTTCAGCCTGCACACACCTGTTTGGCTGTGTCACTTCTGGGTGGCATGGAGACTGAAACCATCTTGTTAGCACGCTCTGCTGGGGATGTGGGCGCCCTTCTTCCAGGAGAAGTGGCTCCCCTGCCCTGCGCTGCCCGTGGCGTCCAGGCAGAGCTTGCTGACTGTGGAGTCTGCATGTCACCTCTCTTCAGAAGGCCTTGTGCTGACCCCTGCCCAGCCCCACACCCTACTCCTCCCGTGCTCCCTGGCTTCTCATACCCTGCAACTGACCGGGAGCCAGGCCACTGGCCCTGAGGCCCTGGGCTCTCCCTCCCACTGGCCACTGTTTCTGAGGCCGGGCTGTGCGTGTCCCACCTCTGCCGCTGGCCTGGCGCCCTGTGCTCAGTGTTGGAGAGCACTGTCCATGCTGCTGGGCGCCACCTGGGCTGCGCATGCTCACTCTTGAGCATCTCTGGTTTCCCTGTCCGCACTTGGGCAGCTCCAGCTGGGGAATCTCAGAACTGCACACTCTGCCGCCATCCGAGCGGGTGTCCGCGTCGGAGCGGGTGTGCTCAGGGTGGCAGGCACTGGCAGCGGCCGTGGTTGCTGCAGCAGCTCTAGGAGCTGTCAGGCGGTTAGGCTGGGAGTGCGCAGCGGCCCCCGCAGCAGACCCCTGGACTCCTCCCAGGCGCTCTCCCTTTGTTTCAGCTCCTCCTGGGCCCGGTGGGTCCATGGAAGATGTCCATCACTGTGTGTGGGCATTCTCCACTGATGTCCTCACTGTGGGTTTCCAACGCCGACCCGATTGGGGAATGCACACTGTCCCTAGGTTCCTTGGAGTGTAAAGTACACTAAGCTTCATGCAGTTGGAAACTGAATTATTAGAACTTTTTCTCTTTCTTCCAACAGTTGGATATTCTAAAAATCAAGCAATTGCACAGAGCTCAGGGTCTTACCTTTGCTTCTTGGATTCAGTAAGTACCTCTTTGGTGGTGTTTATAATGAGTGTGTACATTTTGGCTTGATTATTATTTTTTTTAAGACATTGATGGACCTTTATTTTATTCATTTTATTTCTCTGTGGTGCTGAGGATCGAACCCAGTGCCTCACACATGCTAGGCAAGCGCTCTACCACTGAGCCACAACCCCAGCCCTTGGCTTGGTTCTGGAAAACCATTTTTCTCTGTTAAGATCAGACTTAAAGGTGAGTTGATGGGTTGTTGCTACTTAATTGCCAGAGCATGTAGTGAATCAACCATGATAGATGAAATAAAAGTGTAAAACTGCACCACAGAGAGAGTATAAACCCAGTGGAGATAAAGTGGCACAATGCTGGTAGATGGGATACTTGAGATCACAGCTGAATGGGAAGAGCCCATGGACGTGGGTGAGAAAATGAGAGTGGGCAGGTGGGCAGAAACATGGATGTAGACGCACAACGATGGGTGGCCTGCAGAGGTCCAGGTCAGACAAATTAAATTAAAAACACATAAATGTTTAATCACGTACAATTGAAGTTAGCGAGATGCTTTTGAAAACTAAATTAGCAATGTGTTTTAAACAGGCAGGTGTCAGTGGTGATAGTGCGCCTGGGCATTCTGTCCAGGGACTTGAGGAGATGCTTAGGCGTGGGGCTCCTGGAGCTTGCTGCTCGTATCCCAGAAAAGGATCTCTGCACTAAGGCACATGAGGCTGTGTACAACCAAAAATTAGAAAGAAGCGAATACGCAGTGGTAGAAAACCAGAGACAGCATGAGACTGTTGCCTGTTGGGAGCACTCCGGACTGCAGCCTGGTGATGGTATGGGTGAGCAGATTGTGCCAGGGCACATTTGGATTTGGATCTGCTTTTAGGCACAGCAGCCTGAAGTTTTACCCTTGCTCTTCCCTGCCACCAGGCTCCTGCGGGGCGGATGAGGCTCCTGGTGCCCAGGGTCTGCTCTGGCCCAGCTGAACTAACTCACAAAGGAACGTCTCATCTTGTGTTGCCTGGGCTCTGCCCTTCACACTCACCTCGGTACCAGTGGTGGTGCACGTGGAGTTTGGGGACATGGCACGCCTGTGAGAGGCCAGGTGAAACTGCGTGCTCCACGGCAGTGCTCCCAAAAGCAGAGGCTGGGTCTCCCCTGCTCTGGGCTCATAGCCCCCAGCCTCAGCTCTGGCTTTCTTGCTCTTCTCTTATCTCAGATCCCAATGCCTCGGATCTCTCCCATGCCCGTCCATGTGCTGCAAGGAATCAGGAACATCCTCAAACTTTACTCAGGCAAATGACCTGCAGAAGGGCTGCGACACCCTGGCTAGCAAGCACACCTGGGTGGCAGTCCACCTGCTTTTATCCCTGATGCAGCCCTGGCTCTTGCTCTGATAGGAGGGGCTTGGGGTCACAGTCCACGAGATTGGCTAATTTTAAAACTGGGGCTGGCAAAGGGAAGGGCTGTAGTTCAAGTGGCTACAATTGGATCTTACATCCCAGTTAAGGCTAAATGCTATATTCTGAAAATGGACCACTGGGCTTCTATTTCTCACAAGTCCCCCTTTTTATATCTTTTGGTCTCATTCTCGGTTTTGTTCTCGTACCCTTTGGTACTGCCATCTGTCCTGAACGGGTTAACTTTTTGAGGAGGAAACTGCCCATGGTAATGAGTTCTGCCCTCTGAGCAGTTCAGATAGCCGACCAGTGATCAGGAGGCTTGCTGAGGTCCTTCCCAGCTCAGTTAAAGCTTGTCTTCTTTCCAGGTCTTGATTAAAATCAAGCTGCCAGGCTGGAAGTGACGAGTTGCGAACTCCAAAAGAGGACTCCGAGCAGCAGCTCATAATAATCATATCAGCCAACGAAGCACAGATAGGTCTCAAATTGGCTCAGAACAAACCGTGACTCTGACAGAGCTTTTGTGATATTCATCAGGCCCTCCTGCATAAAACCCTTCCTTTATAAACTCACAGTTTTACTTACTTTTAGGAGGACTGAAAATGTACCTCTCAAGTAAAGAACCATTGTCTTATCTTTTAAATGTCCATGTCTGGCTGTGCTTTGGTTATACTCTCCTGCCAGTGTCTAAGACCTACCTGGTCAAAATTGACCTCTTTTCTATTGACTGAGTCAGCTGAGATTTGTCAGGGGTCACTCTTGGGAACTTGTGACAAGCTTCTTGGCTTCTTTGGCTTTTCCTCTACCAGTGGTGCCATCTGCCAGGATGGGTCAGGGTTTTACTGACCATGTGTGGCTTCCCTTGGAACCATCAGGGACATTTTCCTCTCCTGTGACAATCCTCTTTGCAGAATGTGCACTGGTTGGCTTCCTGTTCTCCAGGGTCCTCTTGATCCCCCTGATCAGGAGGTCAGGTGAGTCACCAGAGTCGTAGGGCCAGCCCTTAGAGGGGTCCTGTCGTTCCCTGGGTCCTGGCTGACCTTAGAGGGCAAGGGCCAAAATATTGGCTACTCTTTCCTTGGTCCTTTTACTGCCTTAACTTTGGTCTCCAGGATTTGGTCTTAACAGGCCAGTTTCACCAATCTTGAAGTGGGAGTACTGGGCTTAACTTCAATGTCTATAGTCTTATGGTTCCATTTAATTGGGGTCAGCATTAGCACTGGAAGTCAGCTTCATATTCTGTCTGTCCTGTAGGTGGTGGTTTATTATCTCAAATTAACTCAGGTTGCTCCATTAGAAGCAGCACTTCTGCAAAACATTAACAGCAACAGTTATAAAGTCAATTCTGCATCTCACTTTCATAATAATGAAAGTTATAAAGTTCTGTAAGGAGCATACTCTTAACCATTTTAAAAGACTTGTATGCTTGGAGAACATGAATACATCTAATGTTTTTTTAAAAACCGGTTGTAATATAGTATTACAGTTACATCAATGTCCTTATATTAACTAAATTTAACTTTTTTTAAAAAAAATTTAGAATCCATAGTATAGAGTAACTATAATCACAAATCTACATATGTTAGCAAAGTACAACAAAGTATAAAAATCAAAATATAACTTTAAATCTCTTTGGTTTGGATGTGAGGTGTCCCCCCAACGCTCATATGTGAGACAATGCAAGAATGTTCAGAGAAGAAACCATTGGGTTCTAAAAGTCTTAACCTAATCAGCGACTTAATCACCTGCTGGAATTCATTGAGTGGTGGCTGAAACAGATGGGGTGTGGCTAGAGGAGGTGGGGCTCTGGGGGCGTGGCTTTGGGTGTATATCTGAATATGGCAAGTGGAGATTGGGCTCTGCTTCCTGACCACCCAGTGAGCTACTTTCCTCCCCGCCACCCACACTCTGCCATGATGCTCAGCCTCACCTTGAGCCCCAAGGAGTGGAGCCTGCTGCCCACGGATAGAGACCTCCTTCTCTGCTTTAGAAACAGCAGGTAAAAAGCTGACTAAAACATGTTTAGGAAACAGTGTTGATGATCAGAAATAGACTTATCATTGAATGTATAACTACATCTCACTTTCATAATAATGAAATAGTCATATGTGTGTGTTGGTCTTACAGTTCCATGGTGTGGCCTTGAGGTCCCATGTTTCTAGAAGGTTCTGTGAGCTTCGTGGGGATTCTGTGCAGTTGTGTGTGTTGGTCTTGTGTGCTGTGGCCTGGAGGTCCCGTTCTGGAAGGTTCTGAGGTTTCCTGGGGTTTCTATGGTCTTGTGTGTTGGTCTTGTGTGCTGTGGCCTGGAGGTCCCATTCTGGAAGGTTCTGAGGTTTCCTGGGGTTTCTATGGTCTTGTGTGTTGGTCTTGTGTGCTGTGGCCTGGAAGTCTGTGGTTTGGTAAGTAGCCTTTGGTCTCTGCCCTGGTTCCACAGATCTCCTGAATCCCATGGGCTCGGTACAACTTGTGCTCTGCTGAGGCAGCTTTTTGGGCTGGGACTGGTCACTGGAAGCCATGCAGAGGTGGCACCTCCCATCCTCCAGGGAGAGTCAGGCTGGAAATTGAGCTGATAACTGTGGTACCCACCTGATAGCCTCCACCAGCACTGAGCCATGGCCCGTGTCCTCCCCTTGAGCTCCCCGGCCCCCGCAGCACAGCGGGTGTCCCCTTGGTACCCACATCCCTCAGGGTGACCTTCAGAGTGAAGAGGTCCCCAGGTCTGTGAGCCTCCTCCTCGAGCCCAAGGGGTTGTGAGACCAGTTGTAGCCGAGGCAGACTGAAGTGTGGGCACCCTGGGCCAGAGCTGTGGTGGCCTCTGAAGTGGAGCCCTTCACCAGGGTCTGCAGGCTGCTCGGTGGGAAGGCAGCATGCTGGGGTCTGGAGCTGCCTTTCGGGCTGTGGGTGGCCTCCCCGCCCCTGTGCTCTGCTGCAGGAACCCGGGGGTAGAGCAGGACCACAGTGTGTAAAGGGAGCCTCAGCATGAGGGAGCGTGGTCACCTCCAGCCCCACGCCTTCAGGCCTCCTGGGCCCAGAGCTCAAGAGGGAGGAACCCTGAAGTGTCAGGGTGCTGGTGGGTTTGGGGAGCAGGCTGTCGGTGGAGCATGAGGGGGGCTCGTGTGGAGGACAGTGGCGAGACGGAAGCCTGGGTGGCCTCCTGGCAGTCTCTGTGACATGAGCCTCATTCTTGGAAGCCCATGCGGGACCTGACAGGCTTTGCCAAGGTCTCTCCCACAACGGGGAGGAGGGGGCATCCAGGACCTCCCCAGGTCTCCCAGGGCTCACAGCAGTCAGCACCGGACTGTGGGGTTGGTGAGGGACGGGACCAGCACACTGGTGTGGGAGCACGTGTGCCACCTGGTGTGTGCTCTGCCTCGGGCTCTGGATGGGTGGTTCTGAGCCTGCATCCTCCGAGGACCCCTGGCCAGGTGATTCCCAGCTGGGCCTTGTGTGTGTGTGAAGCTGAGCCTCCCTGTTCACCATCCATGGACCCCCAGGCTTCCTACAGGGAGAGCCTGGCTGGCAGCTGGGTCCTGGGGCCTGCAGCTCTGACTAGTGCTGCCCACTGGTGGCCCCTCTGAGTCTGCGCTTTCCTAACAGGGCGGTGTTTCCCACCGTTGCGGTGGGAGTCGTGTCCCCAGCAGGGCAAACCGGGGTTGGGGTTGGCTTAGCTCACGAGGAGAGGAGGCAGTGTTGGCCTGCTGGCGAGAGCCCTGGAGGCTGAAGGCCCAGCTCTTGGCTCCTGCTGGCAGCCCTTGCCTCCCTAGGGGTCCTTTAATTCACCTTCCTCCATTTAAAATGAATATCCTCCCAAGGATGTTATTTTTGGTTTTCTTAGTGGACCTGTCTGTGCCTTTAACTGTGCCTGCGTGACCACATCTGGACCTGCGACCGCAGGTGGGAGAGCCGCTGCAGCAGGAGGCCACTCTCCACCCACACCAGCCTGCTGGCTGGCGGGATTTGCACTGGCTTCAGGGAGGGATGTGTGGCCATCCTCGTCCTGCCTCCTCCACGCACCCTGGGTCTGAGTTGATGTGGGTGGCTGTAGAGAGTTGGCTCTGGGTGGACAGTGGCTGTGTTGAGCAGAGCACTGTGGACGGCCCAGCGTCTTCCTTGATCTCCTCTAAGCACGTGGTGAGCTGGGCCCCCCCAGCCAGACAGTGCCACACTCCCTGTTCCAGTGACCACGCCACTTCCCACAGGCACAGAGTTCCTCTGCTCAGCCTCCGGCCACTCTTGGAATGGTCAGGACTTTGGTCTTCCTGTGGGTTGTGTGTGGCTGCCCCTTCCCTGACTCCTGGTGCGTCTCCCTTTTCTTACTGCTTGTTGCAGGTGGTGGTGATCTTGAACTCAGAATGTGCTCTTCCCCCAGGATGACGTGATGATGCCTGAGAGGGTGAGGCTGCAACACGAGGCTGCCGTTCAGCACCCCACCAGCGTGAGTACTGCCCCCCCACAGCCAACCCCGCACTGAGGCACCCTCCCCGCAGGGGGCGTGAGGAGCCGCGCCTTGTGTGGGGAGCTCTGGGTGCTTTAAAACTGACCAAAAGGGGGCTGGGGTTGTAGCTCAGTGGTGGGACACTTGCCTAGCACGTGTGAGGGTCAGGGTTTGATCCCCAGCACCATAGATAGATAGATAGATAGGTAGATAGATAGATCGATCAAAGATAGATAGATAGATAGATAGATCAAAGATAGATAGATAGGTAGATAGATCGATCAAAGATAGATAGATAGATCAAAGATAGATCGATCAAAGATAGATAGATAGATAGATCAAAGATAGATAGATAGATAGATCAAAGATAGATCGATGATCGATCAAAGATAGATAGATAGATCGATCAAAGATAGATAGATAGATCAAAGATAGATAGATAGATAGATCGATCAAAGATAGATAGGTAGATAGATCAAAGATAGATCGATCAAAGATAGATAGATAGATTAGATAGATTAGATAGATAGATAGATCAAAGATAGATAGATAGATCAATCAAAGATAGATACATAGATAGATAGATCAAAGATAGATAGATAGATCAAAGATAGATAGATAGATAGCTCAATCAATCAATCAAACAGACAAACAAGAGGGTTTTGCAGTGCAGAGCTGAGACCCCAGCCTCACGTATGCTTGCAAGCCTCCACCAGTGAGCCTCAGCCCCAGCCAGGTGGTGGTTCTTAGCTGCAAGTTAGAAATGTAGAGGCCACCAGAGGTCAGGCGGGCACTCAGCAGTCACGGGGCAAGGCAAACGCCACCTCTGCAGAAGGGCTGCCCCCGACCAGCGTCTGGCCAGCAAGCCCACCTGGACGGCAGTCCTGCTTTTATCCCAGCACAGCACTGCCCTGCCCCGGCTCCGACAGAGGCGCTCGGGCCACAGTCTGTGCCACTGGCTAACGTAAAGAGGGCCAGCAGAGGGAAGGGCCCTAGTTAAACCTGCTGCCATTGGATTCAGGCTGAAAAGCTCAGAGTGGCCACCACGGGATCTGAATCCCCAGTTTTCCACGTAAGACTGAACACTACATTCTGAAAACAAACTGTGGCTCTCCTGTTGCTCCCATGCATGTGAGAAGCCAAGCTCTCACTGAAGAGCACTCGAGCCCTGAGCATCCGCAGCTCCAGTCCTCCCTGGGAGCCCACCCAAGCCGTCCTGCTGGGGACAGAGCCAGCTGTGTCTCATCCAGCCTGTCTCTAGCAGATGCACAGTTGCCTTAGGCCCTGGGCCCCAGGAAACCCAAATTGACCGTGGCCGCGACCTCCTGCTTTATGACACGGTGCAGCCTTCTTCCCCAGGACAGACTGCTGCCTCCCTGGGGGAGGGGGAGGGCAGCGTTGGACTCCGTGTCCATGGGCCTCAGGTCAACGTGTGCATCCCGGCATCTGCCTGCTCTCCCATGTGCTCCACACTGTCCCCTCCAGTCTGGTCCCCCAGGGCGCACCCACGTGGAGGGTCGTCTTGTGGGCTGTCAGAGGCTCACAGAAGGGCCTCTCTGAGGTGGAACTGCTCAGCCTGGCAGCCCTCTGTGTCCAGCACGATTCCTGCCCCTCCAGCTGGCAGCCTTGGGGGAGCTTGCTTTGCTGCTTTGGAGGAATTTGGCATCTTTTACTTCTGTCACCTTCCTTGTCCCAGACCCATGGGTCTCAGTGCCCGCTGGGCAGTGGTAGCTGGCTGTGTGGACACCGGCCTTGGGGTCTCCTGCCGTGGAACCAGTGGTTTAACCCTGGACCCCGAGCTGGATGCCAAGGATGCTTCCTCCCTGCACTGAAATTGCTCACGTTACTTAAACTTGGACATCAGTCACACGTGCTTGGCTGTGCCAGTAGGAAGGCAGGAGATGCCCAGGCTGTGCCTGGAGAGGCCCCTCGGGATCCCACAGGTGGCCATGAGCAGCTCTCTGGCTCTCAAGGGCGGACTGTCCGACTGGGGCCCGAACCAGGCCGGCCCACAGCCCTCAGACAACCCACCTCACCCTGCCCTTCTTGGCTGCTGCCTCTGGCCCTCTGCACCAGGGTTGTAGGGGAGCTCCCGAGGCACACAGGCAGCTGGTGGGGGCTGTGAAGGAAGACAGGCTGAGTATAGGTCATGCTTTCAGGAGCAGAGTTGCCATATGGCTACCCCTGTCCTGGCATGCAGGGTCCCAGGCTTGGGGTTGAGGCCCTGGGATGAGGCCAGGGTCTTCTTCGGGCACATCTGACCAAGCTCTGCAAAGGGTCATGGGCTGACAGAGCTCACAACCACAGTGTGTGTGAGTGCTTGTGTCCAAGCAGTCGCTGACCAGGCTGCGGTGCTGCTTTCTCGACAGTCCAGTGTGGAACCTGTCATTCCTTCCTCTCCAGCAGAGAGTGTCCGACAGCTCAGGCCGTGGGCACACACCATCCACACCTGCCCCAGGGCTTGCTGACCTTGGGCTTTGCCATGTGTCTTTGGGATCGCCCACGGTCTGCAGAAGAGTTTCGGGCTTCTCAGGCACACGCCATGTTGGGGTCAGCTGCTCCATGGGGAAGAGGAGCCTGTGGGAGCCAGGCCTGGGCGGGTCTTGGGGCCGTTCACGTGAGGGGGCTGCAGAGGCTCCAGCAACTCTGCACCTGCGAGCCGTGCAAGTCAGAGAAGGCACAGCAGCACCCTTGCCCAGCATCAGGCCACGCTCCCTGCCAAGGATACTGCTGGACAGAGCTCTCCACCAGTCTGGAAGCCACAGACCCTCCCCCCTGCACCAGGGTCCAGCCTTAAGCAAAATGCCGTCTGTGGCCTGTGCATGGGTGACCACAGGTCCGGGAATGGCCGTTGCAAGCATCCCAAGCACATTGTGTCCAACAGCTTGTGAGGGTGGCTACCGAGTGCTGGTGTTTCCGGGATGAGAGGGCTTGGGTGTGTTCTCCCCTCCACCCTCGACAGTTCTCAGTGGCATGTCTTCAGAGGAACGGTGATCTTTAGGGACGCTCATGAACTTGGCAAAAACTCCGACTGTCGGGGTGGGCTGACCATGAAGTCCCGGGTCGCGGCTTCTCTTGCTGAGCCTCTGGTAGGTTCTCTGGAGACCCACCCAAAGTGCGGGAGAGGACGTGCTGGCTGCCCCCCCAGCCGTGGCGTGTGCCACCCTTCCTCCTGGCCCTTCCATGCTGTCAGTGGCTGCACTGTGTGGAGTCGGATTGGGAAAGGGTGGATGGGAGCCTGGGCCTGCAGGCCCAGAGGCTGCTTGTAGACTGTGCCGTTGCTCCTGCAGGAAGGAGCCTGCGCTGGCCTCACACTCCCACTTGGTCGCCACTTCAGGCTTGTGCCAGAGTGGGAATGTTGGGGTGGAGAGGCCCTGGAAGGGGTGCCCAGCTGGCACCTGCTGTGGTCGCTGCAGATTCGGGGCCTCACCTGCGGAGCACCAGGCAGCCTCCCACGTGAGCGTTCAGGCAGAGCCCGGGTCTGGATCTGGGGGAGGAGGTGGCCTCGGGAGCCTTCTGCTAGTTCGGGGCCCGGCTTGCCAGAGGGCCTTCCTGAGGGGTCACCTGCAGAGGCACGGACAGAGCTGGGGGATGTGGCACATGAGGAGCACAGAGACCTCTACTGCTTCCCTGTGCCTCTGCACAAGGCCAGGCCTTCTCCCACAGTTCCCCTGCCACTCCTCCTGACCCGGAGTGAAAAGTGGAGCACGGATGGAGAAGCCGCCTCCTGAGGGTCCTCGGTGCCTGGGGGGCTGTTGACGGCTGAGGCTGTGTGGTGCAGAGCTGGCCTCTGGTGGAATGGTCATACACATGCTGGACGCATGCCGGGCTTCTGTGAGCCGTGCAAGATCACCCTGCTTGGCCCCTGCTGGTCCACTCAGGCCGCACCAGGGACTCTGTGGCCCCACTTGCCTGGGCCAAGGGTGCTGGCCCCGCTCTTGACCAGGCCACGTGTCATCAGCAGGCTTACCTGGAGCCCCACATTTTCACAGCTCCACTGGGCTTGATGCACTCCTGATGCCTGGGTGGGTGTGTTCAAGTGTCCAAGGGTGCAGCGAGGGACCCGTGGGGTTGGGCTCTTCTGGGTGACAGGTGAGGAAGGCACAAAGGACCCAAGCAAACTTGCAGGTACTCCCAAGGCCGGCACAGAAACCCTGCAGTACTGCCATGCCCTCTCACCAGGCAGCTCCCCTAAGGAAAGGGCAGAAAGTCCTTTGCTTTACACCTGCAGTTCAGGCAAGGTGACATCAGTATCAAAAGTACAGCATTTGGAGGGGCACAGTGGCCCTGTGATCCCAGCCACTTGGAGGCAGAGGCAGGGGGATATCAAGTTCCAGGCCAGCCTGGGCAGCTTAGGAGACCCTGCATCAAATTAAAAGGGCCGGGAGTGTAGCTCAGTAGTAGAGGACCCCGGGTTTAACCCCTGTGCCTCCCCAGTACCGCGTCAGCTCGAGGGCTGGGCTCTGCTGCCCCTAACATGCCTACTTTCTCTGCAGCCAGAGGCAGGAGAGACACGCTGCTCCTGCCGTGGGGCCCCTGGAAACTGCCAGTCCTCTGCCTTGAAACGCGTGTCTGAGTGTGACCCTACTGTCCCTGGGTGAAGGTTCTGGGCAGGCATTTGTCTGTGCCGACTGGACGGCCTCTCCCTCCACTACGGCGGACCCTCGACAGTCGTGTAGATCGAAGGTGTGGGCTGGGGCGAGGCAAGAAGCCAAAGCACAGGGCGTGCGCGGGAGTCAGATCTGAGGCCAGGAGGCACAGGGCGGGGCTGAGGGAGACCAAGTCTGCGAATGTGGCAGGAGACGGAGAGGAGGGCACTTCAGGGCTGTGACAGGTGCTCTGAGATGGCAGTCTAGCTCAGGGGGAAGACTCCTGGGTGCTGTGGTCATGGGGCTGCTGTCCTGAGGCTGAGCACAGCACACTTCTGAGGCTGTGGCCACACTGGAAATGATCGTAGTCGGTCATCTTAATCTGAGCCATTCAGGCCCGGCTGCCGGCCAAGGGCAGTGTTGGCCAAGAGCCTGCCATCCCTGGGGGGGAGCGGGCCCTGCCCTCCCCTGGCCCAGGGACTTGCCCGCCTCCACCTGTCCTTGGCTGTGGAGGGGTCTGCCTGGCAGACGTTCTGTCGGTGTGAGCCACGTCAGGGAGGCCGCCTGCCCACACCTGGCTGAGTTCTGCCTGCTCTTCTTTCAGATCATCGGGTGCCGTGTGAGGAGAGACCCCCCGGGTTCCACTGAGCGGTACACACGCTGGATCAACCAGCTGGCGCCCGAGCAGCTTCTGACACAGGTGACGGCTTGCTTGTCCTGGTCCAGGCTGTCCCTACAGGGGCAGCCTCTTGGAGCCCCAGGGCCATGTCCTGCTCAGGGCCTACTGGCCTGTCGTTGGGGTGTGGTTTTGTCTTCACTCGGTCCAAATGCAAACTGGACAGTGTGTGCTGACTGGACACACACTAACCCCATGGAGACCTGACAGCTCAAACAAGGCAGGTTCCCACCTAGGACACTGACCACGGGCTGCTCTGAACCTCGATGGGGTGTTTCAGAATCTCCAGTGTCCCCCATGTTACTGGAATTAGATGGACATGCAGTGTGGACAGCAAGGGCAGACCTCACAGATGGCAGTGTGGCTTCAGCAGTGGACGGGGCAGACGTGGTACCAGGTGGAGGGTGGACGTGGTGGCGAGGGGGGGTGGACGTGGCTGGATGGAGGTGCGTGGAGTTGCAGCACACGGTGTGGGTGATAGTGGATGTGTGGTCTGGGACCCGCAGGAGGTTCATCAACTCATGTCCTGGGTTTGAGCAGCACCGCAGCAGTGGTGGGCCTTGTTGGATCCGTGCTTGTGGCCATTCTCTATGGGACCCCTTGGCTACCCGCCCATGGCAGGCTGCCTTGTCAGGACAGGGCAGAAGCCAAGGGCCGGCATCTGCGTCAGGGTCCTGGCTGCAGTGTGTGTCCCTGGACTGTGTGGAGTGACATCTGCTCATGAGCAGCCAGAACACTGCAGGCTACTCCCACGTGGAAGAACACGGCCCCACCCTGGAGGGCCACCTTCCTGGTGCTGGCTGCCAACGAGGACGGTGGCACCGTCAGCTACAGCGACTGGCCTGCCTGGGCACAGGCTGGATGGAGAGGCTGCCAGTGCGGCTCCAGGTGGCCTCAGCAGACACCTGGCTGCTCGCCAGTGGGGCGGGGGACGGGCGGTCTTGGGGACACAGCCTCTGATGTTTCCTGGTGTTGCTGAGCATCTTAGATCTCATCAAAGGAAGGAGAACATGCAGCACCCACCCACCAGTCCTCACACCCCACCTGGTCCTGGCTTCCGAGCTGCGCCCCCTCCCTGCTCTGCCTTGCTGGGCTGCACAGCACAAGCCCAGATCCACACCGTGCACCTGGGAGACGTGGCCCACGGCTCACCGAAGGAGAGGCTGCGATTGCCTGGCGTCTTCTGGCTCTCTCCCCGTCTGCGGGTCATGCTTCTTCTTGGGGTTTTCATTATTTATTATTATAGAAATTTGTAAAATGATACCAAAGAAGAGAGTTTCGAAAACACCATCCCACCTGTTGCAGCCCTTGCTATGCTGGAGGCCTCTGTTGTCTGCACCCGGCTCCGGGTCATCTCCTTCTTGCCTATGATGGACAAGGACTTGAACACCTGAGAGATCTAGGTGACTGCGGTGTCACCTGGTACCCACACAGTGTTTCTCCTGTTCTTTTGTGAAGTTTTTCTTTCCTCATCTCCTTCCTCTTCCTCTTTTTCTTTTTCTTTGTAATCTGCTAGCTTGATGGGATCCAGAAGTCTGCATATTGCTGTTGCTGTTCTCCTTGAACTGTGTTGAAGGTGTTGATAATTTGGCCACCAGAGCTGTTGACAGTGGGAGTTGCTGGTCACACCTCCCTGGTCTCATTTAACAGACTCCTCTGTCCTTGGGCTTCCTGTGGATTGAACAGAATCTAGAGAGTTTTCTCTTTTGCCTGTTCTAAGACAGGTTTTTGATGTGTACCTGGTGTCTAATATTTCACATGAAGAGTCTGACTGCTGTGATTGTATATACCGACATCTAGCCATCTGTCCACCACCCCTTTTTCCCAGGTCTACACAGCACCCCTTCAGCACTGAGCATGCGCAGATCCACTTTGTGGCTATGAGCCCGCATCTGCAGGACTGCACATGAATGGTCCCCAGGCACGCTGCACACCTACCGTGAGGGGAGCCCTCGCCATTGCTGGCAGGGCTGCTTCTCTGCTTGCCTGTGTGGCTTGGCCGTAGCTTGCCTGTCCTGCTGTGGGAGGACACGTGAGCCACTCGGCTCTCAGCTTGTCAAGACAATGTGGCAGTGCACCTGTGCAGTCCGAGGGGTGCAGGCGTGCGTGGCCCTCCTGGGCAAAGCTCCGGCACGGGGCTGTTAGTTCACGGGAGGCACAGGCTTCACCCAGGTGCCTTCAAGGTGCTGTTGGCTCCTCTGCAGTGAAGGCACGCTGGCTCCCCCACACCCTGCCACCCTCGGTGAGGTCCGTTGTTCCCAGTTCCCTGAGTCTGATGGGCAGGTGGTGGCCTCTCACTGGCTGTAATTTTCATGTCTGCAATGACTAATGACCTTGACCATCTTTTCATGGGCTTTTTGATTCCAATATTTTTTTTTTTTGCTAAAGCATTCAAACCTTTGCCCATTATTTTATTGAGTTGTTTGCATGTTTAGTATTGAATTTCGAGAGTTGTTTATATATTTAGGATGCAACTCCTGTATCAGACAAAAACTCTGCATGTGTTTTTCTGAATCTGTGACTTGTCTTTCATTCTTTTTTTTTGTAGAGAGAAAGAGAGAGAGAGAGAATTTTAATATTTATTTTTTAGTTATCGGCAGGCACAACATCTTTGTTTGTATGTGGTGCTGAGGATCGAACCCGGGCCGCACGCATGCCAGGCGAGCGCACTACCACTTGAGCCACATCCCCAGCCCCTGGCTTTCATTCTTTTAACACTGTGTTTCAAAGAGAAGTTCCCAATTTGGATGAAATCTGAGTTACCGATATTCCTTTATGGATTTTGCTTTCGATATCATACTTAAGAAACCTTTGGCTAGTAAAGTTCACTAGCCCTGCTAGTAAAGGTTTCTCTTGTGTTTTCCTTTTAAAGTTGTGTAACTTCAAGCTTTATGTGTAGGTCTCTGTTCTTTCCTTGGTCACTTTTGTCACGTGGTTGTGTTGCTGTCTTCTTCACTCCCGAGTGGTAGGCATCAGTGTGTGCCCACAGCCTGAGGGTCTGCCGGGGTTCTTCCCGCCATGCGACAGCCTCCTCGCTGTGTCCAGGCCTGGCAGAGGGAGAGTGGGCAGGGACCCTGTGCTAAGAGCCACACCACCATGACCCTCACGTCTGCTGAGCTCCCTCTCCAGACATTGGCCAGCTGGGATCAGGGCTCAGCAAGGACCCTGGAGGACACGGTTCAGTCCGTGCAGGTGGCTGGACCTCATGCTCTACGTGCAGAGCCCAAGGCAGCCTGGGCTGCTCGTGGGTGTGTGCTTTCTCTAGACTTGTGTGCTCCCTGTGACCTGGTCCCTTTGCACGTGGCTCTGGGATGATTCCTGAAGAGACTTCATCCTCCTCGTGGTTCTTTGGCCCATCTAGGTGGTCGGCATTTACATACAGAATTCTAAATCAGCACGTTTTCCACAAACAGCAACAACAGAGAAACACCCAGCTGGATCCTGACTCATACCACCCGTGAGGATCGACTCAAAGAGGATCAGAGACCAAACTTGACAGCTGCAATGACCTGCGCAGAAGAAGGTGCACAGCGGAACTCCAGAGCGTTGGGCTCTGATTCCCTGGGCGTGGCCACAAAGCACAGGCAAAAAAAGAAGATGAGTTAGAGCACATGCAGACCATGTGCAGGACACTCAACAGAGGAGGAGGCCTCAGGGAAATACTGGTCAGCTGTGTCTCTGGGAGGGGCTCATGCCCGGGGTATGTGAGGCACCCACAGCTCTGAGACCAGGTGAAGCCTGTGGGTGCTCCAGAGAAGACTGCTAGCTGAGCACACAGAGGGCGCCCGGCGTCACTCACTTGAGGATGAGGAAGTCGGCCAGACGAGGCCCACTGCACCCTCGGGGACAGCTACTGCCAGCAGCCAGCTGGCCAGTGTGTGGCAACCGTTGGCCAGGTGTGAAGAACCACACGCCGAACACTGTCGTGGGGTGTCAGCGGCACAGCTGTACAGGAAACAGTGCATTGTTTCCCCAGAAGTCAAAACTAGAATCACCACGTGACCCAGCAGTCTCCCTCCTGGGTGAACGCCCTCCGGAAACACAGGGACTGGCAAGGGGCACTCACGTCCCTGGTTCACAGCAGCCAGAGGTGGAGGAGCCCCGGCCGTGGCAGGTGGAGGGGTGAGCAGACTGCCGTCCGTGCCTGGCACCATCCCTCTGCATTACCACCGCTGATGCACGTGGCTGGCACCTCAGAAGAGAGGTGTGTCGAGTCCACGTTCCTGAGGCCGACGTGCGGAGCGGCTGGCGCTGCCTCTGGTGGAGGGCACCTGTCCAGACAGAAGGCCTGAGAGCAGGAGGGTCGGGCCTGGGTCCCAGGAGAAGGCCCCAGCCCTGGCCCAGGACGGCACCCTGGGAAGCTGGATGCTGCCCGTTTGGCACCCGTAAGGTCCACTGCCTCCCAGCGCCACACTGGCCAAACTCCCAGCCAAGACCCCAGATCCTGTGACGACATGCTCCCACATGCGGGAGCCCCAGGACACTGCCAGGCAGGAAAGACACCCCTGCTGCATCCACAGGTGGCTCCTGAGCTGAGTGTGGTGCAGACCCAGGGCTGAGGGCAGCACCAGGCACCAGACCCAGGGCCGAGGGCAGCACCCGGCACCAGACCCAGGGCTGAGGGCAGCACCAGGCACCAGACCCAGGGCCGAGGGCAGCACCAGGCACCAGACCCAGGGCCGAGGGCAGCACCCGGCACCAGACCCAGGGCCGAGGGCAGCACCCGGCACCAGACCCAGGGCTGAGGGCATCACCCGGCACCAGACCCAGGGCCGAGGGCAGCACCAGGCACCAGACCCAGGGCTGAGGGCATCACCCGGCACCAGACCCAGGGCCGAGGGCAGCACCAGGCACCAGACCCAGGGCCGAGGGCAGCACCCGGCACCAGACCCAGGGCCGAGGGCAGCACCAGGCACCAGACCCAGAGCTAAGGGCAGCACCCGGCACCAGACCCAGGGCCGAGGGCAGCACCAGGCACCAGACCCAGGGCTGAGGATCAGACCCAGGGCTGAGGGCAGCAGAGG